CTCCTCCTTCTGTTCTTCCTCCAAGGCGAATACACACACCCCTTCACACACGCAGACGCGCAGCAACCGGCGGCGGCGGCGGCTCCTCACGCTGTGTGCCCACCCACCCCTCCTCTCCCTCGTCTGCCTCTCTATTGTTCAGACCGGCTTCCTAGGCGTTCTTGGCTCACCACTCCCCAGATTTTACCGGAGACCACCACCACCACCCCGCTTGCCTCTTAATTTCCCCCCCACACACACACACACACGTGATGTTGTTCGCCCCGCCCCGCCCCCCTCGGGCCACCCCAAAACGAAACCAACACCCCAAGCCCCTCCGTGATGGGGGCACAGGCAGAGGTGACAGCTCAGTTTTCCCCTGGACCCTCCGCCACCACCACTCTCGCCACTGGCGACGGCGGCAAGGCTGTCCCCACCAGCAGCCCTTCACCCCTACCCTCTTCTTTTAAAAAAGGAAAATATTCCTCGCTGTCATGGAACAGCTTTGGCAGGACCTCTAGTGAGGAGCAGGAAAGGCTGGGAGGTGAAGAACTGTCTGCTCGGATTTTGTGTGTGTGTGTGTGTGTGTGTGTGTGTGTGTGTGTGAGGTCTCAGTGCGCGCGCCTACGAGGGGAAGCGCCCCCTTCGAAGACGGGGGGGGGCTTCCCTTCTCGGGTCCCTCAGGCCCCTGTCCCTGGCCAAGCACGTTGGCTTCCCGGGCGTAACCCTGTTCCCCTCACTCGCTCTGCCGCCTTCTTTCCTCACCCCACCGTCCTTGAGTTTTTTGTGGTTTTTTTTTTTGCCGCCGCCGCCCTCCCCGTTGTCATTCACCTCCGCTTGCCCTCTCATTACCAAACAAGTAATTAACACCGTTTCCTCCCGAGCCAGAAGAATTAAAAGGGGAGCCAGAGAGGGTCTGTGGGCTGGGAAAGGAGAGGTCCAGGTGTAAAAGGACATTGGCGGAGGGTAGGGACCAGCTCCTGTTGAATTTCACAGAGACGGAGGGGGTGTGGGTGTGGGCGTGTTGAGCGGTTCTGCAAACGTCACTTTGGTAATTGTTGCAGACTGGAGCATCGCTCCGTTTCCGAACAGTAATTAGGGGGCTTGACAGTTTCCAGAATAGGACTCGAAGTTCCATTTTTGTAGATGCCCAAAAAGGTTTATGTGAAAGGAGGAGAAACCGGACAGAGAAAAGGAAAGAGAGAAAATACAGGCTTCCAACAAGTGATTGTGGGTTGTTGGGGTTTTTTTCTTCTTCTTCTTCTGCCGGAAAGCTGCTTCTGAGGTAATGTTTTGGAGCTCAGTAAAATATGTGTCTGTGGCATTAGTATTCTGCCATGGCTTTCATGCACATTCTTTTAATGGCTCATAGAGTCGGTCCTAAGTGCAGCTACTTAAAGTAGGTATTACAGAGCCAAGTCCGGTTCCTCCCCCCCCCCCCCCCCCGCCTCGTCCATTCTCTTAAAAGAAGAGGAGCTGCAGGTCTGTCCAGACAGGGGAATTAGGAGCAGTCTGGCTTACACTTAAAAGGTTCTTCAGGGTGATCTATTTTATCTCTCACTTGAGTGATATTTCCATTCACACTGGAGATGGTTATTCTTGTGTGAAAAGGGTCTATACAAGTCCCTTGATCACCAAGTTACTCATATATTCATCTACCTGATTTACTCACAAGCAGCAACGGGCATGAACCAGTAGTTTGTGCCATTTCATTTACTGGCCGAACAGGTGTTTAGTGGATCCCAGGACTGCCTTCTCCAGCAGGTGCCCACTCAGAGACTGCAGTGCCCAGAGGAGGTGGGGCAGAGAAGCCGGGGGGTTGCTGCCTCTGAGTGGGCACTGGCATGAACTGCTGACTCATGCTGTCTCGATGCATGAGTAAGGATAAGGAGGGGGCCCTGGCATGAGGAGAAAACGTTGGGGTGTGGAGTCCATGAAGCTGACATAGCCCCCTCCCCCCCACCTTTTCTCACAGCCATCATTCACCTGGGCTGCAGTTGCTTTCCTTTACGTATTTATATTTTATTAACTAAGCTAAGTAGCATGTCAGAAGATCAATGTACTGTATAATATTAGAATTGTCCTGCATCAGTTAGGGAGATACTTTTAAAAAGACAAAAATAGAGGAATTTTTTTTTCTATCCTCCCTTTTAATGTCACAACCCGTTTATTATGTCACAGGGTTGTCACCTCTGCTGACACTGCTCACAGCTCCATTTGGGTGCAAAGTAACAGTCCACACAAGCTACACATCAAGAGAATTAGGATCACACCGAACTGTACCAAAAATTATACATGCCTTAGTACTATGCCAGAAATGTGCACAATGGCTCTTAAGGGGGCAGGATGGCTCAGTCTAAGCAGAAACCCATGTCATTTGGTTCGAACCAAACCATACCAATAGCGATTAATAGACTGATCTATATGCCAGTCTGGACAGGCCCTATCTTGGAGCAGGGCCTTCTCAGAAGATCTTGGGATCATAGGATTCCTACATAATTTATTCTCTTTCTAGATCAGGTAAATCAGTTTCCTTCTCCCTGTTGAGATGTAGTAAAATTAGAGATTCTCACCAGGTTGAAGACTGCATACATTTGGAAGTACAAGGTCTCTATCCAAAGAGAATCCAAGTATAGGTAATATTTAGAATGGGAAAGGATCTGAATTTTGTGGGTGTTTGGGAAAATATTTTTATATATTTGAAAGCACTTGAGTACACCCAAGTGTTACTAGCTACCTTTATCACCAGAAGCATCTACTTTAAGAGTATTCTCTGCTCCTCACCTGAAAGTATAGAAAGGCATAGACATTGTATTATGGTTCTTCATAAAAGGTTGTCATAAGTTGCAGGAGATAATCCACACTGCTTTGTACTATGCTTTAACAGTACCTCTTGAGATCTTAAGAAACAACAACTAATGGGTGTTAGCATGATTGTTTTTATGCAGACCTCCTTCAAGCTGCAGCTGGACAACAGATGACATTTGAGTGACAGAGTCATTAACCTCCTGCTCTTCACCCCAAACCAAAATGAAATCTAAGTATATTTAACTTAATTTCCCATGTTGACATTCTGTAACCCTTTCTTCCCTTTGAAAACACTGAGTGAGAGGTTTTCCAGCTGCAGGATTTGTTTTACCTAAAAGATCAGTTTGAGCACTAATTTTATTGAAAATGCCACCAATACCGTGATGTTCCTCTTAGTTGCTTTATATCTTCCCCTACCATAAGGACCGCCTCCTTCCATATGAGCCTAAATATCTTCCCCTACCATAAGTTGAAACCTTGTTTTGCCTCTTCCAAAACCAAGGCTTGTTTTTTCATACAACTAGAGGAGGACTTCAGCACCGTGGTACTTCCCATTTGCAGCAATGTCCAGAGTAGGAGCATCCTATTCTGAAATTTATATTGTGCCACGGGAAGGGGGGGGGAGTAAGATCCAGCACAGTGGTGTAAAAATAGGGAGCAGTGAAGTGAAGGCACCCAAAGGGAGTGACAAGCTGATTGATGGAGGAAGAAGGGAAAGATGCAGCCAGGTGGAAGGATCAGAAAAAAATTGGGATGCAGAAGTGTCAACAGGGGTGATGCAGGATGAACAAAAAGAAGTGAATCACCATACATAAAATTTATAGAAGATCCATAAAAATCTTGGGGCAGAAGCCCTGGGCTGATTTTGGATGTGTGTTTTTTAATGAACATCAATGTTATAGATCTATGAACCTAGATGGTGCTTAATAAATAATGGTTGAAATCTTGATGCACAGTTACACAAATAGCATAACATTTGAAATAATTATAAGTTAAGAAATCTCCAGAGAGATCTCTCAGATGCAATCTCCGTTGCATCTGAGGATACAATTCAGTGTGCAATAGATAATGCTTATGGTGATTTCTAGGGACATGGTGGCGCTGTGGGTTAAACTGCAGAAGCCTCTGTGCTGCAAGGTCAGAAGACCTGCAGTCGTAAGATCGAATCCACGCAACAGAGTGAGCTCCTGTTGCTTCTCCCAGGTCCTGCCAACCTAGCAGTTTGAAAGCATGCAAATGCAAGTAGATAATTAGGTACCACCATGGTGGGAAGATAACGGCATTCTGTGTCTAGTTGCGCTGATCATGTGACCATGGAAACTATCTTCAGACAAACACTGGCTCTACGGCTTGGAATCGGGGATGAGCACTGTGCCCTAGAGTCGGACATGACTGGACATTTGTCAGGGGGAACCTTTACCTATGGAGAATTCTTAACTTATGGCAATTCATGTCTAAAATTATGCCATTTGTGTAACTGTGCTGTAGGATTTCTTCCATAAATTCACTGGTGCTAAGTAATTGTCGTTAATTATTAGATGTCACCCTTGCTGACTTATGGTAACCAATTCCACTGTCCCCTATTTTCTAGTATAATAGCCCCTCCTCTGGTGGTGCTCTGTGATCATGTACGTTGCCTAAAGCACAAGTGATGGGATATATAACCCCACCAGCTGCTCCCACTTCCAGGTGATGTCAGCTTCCCCTTTTCTTGGGAAGCGCTGTGGACAGTTGAATTCCTAACGCCAACACACTAAGCTAAATATAACCCCACCAGCTGCTCCCACTCCAGGTGATGTCAGCTTCCCGTTTTCTTGGGAAGCGCTGCGGACAATTGAATTCCTAACGCCAACACACTAAGCTATACCAGCACCCAAATCCATTTGAAACTAGAGGTAAATTTTCAAGGCCACTTCCTGCTAAATTTTACAACCAGGAGCATTTTCATTGAGATGTAAGATTACAGAACACATTTTAAAAGGATATGAAGAGCCTCGTGGCGCAGTGGTTAAACTGCTGCACTGTAGCAAAAACTCTCATGACCCAGGGTTCAATCCCAGGTAGCCTTCTGTCCTTCCGAGGTTGGTAAACTCAGCTTGCGGGGGGGGGGGGCAATGTGTAGCCTGC